TCATGGATAAACCTACACATGCAATTAAGTTTAACAAACCCCAGGTCCTTGCAAAAGAAGTCCGTTATCTACCCAGGACGTTGCGAGAGGCCATTGAAATTAATAAACATCCTAATTTCAACAGGGAGTTTGGAGTCCAGTATTTCCTCTGATGAAAAATCCCAAACAGACATAAGACTGCAGTACTGTTTAATATGTTTTACCGTAATAAAAATTCATGTTGTTAAAATACAATAATTTGTAAAACAGATGTAGCGTAAATTGGAATGTTCTTTGTAAAATAAAAAATAAAGTATTTAATTATTAACTTTTGTACTATAGTGAAAAAATTGGGTGGTTTGCATTAATATTAGACATAACTGGTTGATGACTGTACCACTTCAATCAACGTGACCATGGGACCTGTAAAGGGCCCGAAACGCTCGCGTTTATTTGTTTATTTATTTGTTTGTAAAAAACAAATATACGCGATTTAAATCCGAAAAAATAGTTTCATTTCCTATTAATTAGGTATTTAAACTAAAGTGACAACTCAAAAATTTCAACAAAATCTCATCATACATAAATGTCTAATTTCATCTGGGGTGCACGAAAGGAGCTTGCCCGCACGACGTACCATTCCTTTCCACGTCTGGCGCACCCCTGAGTAACAATACAATGGGCAAGTATCTTACGTTGATTGGCACTACGATATTGCAAGCATTGTGGAAAGTGACTACGAGGTCGACGATGTAGCATGCACATCTATATAATGCCTATTCACCCTCGTCTTGAAAAGGTCCAAGTTATAACGTTCAGGAAACAAGTCTGCAGGCAGGGAATTCCACTCCATAGCTGTTCGCCATATAAATGTGGAAGCGTAACGCTTCGTGCAAATCTTTGTAATGTCCACAGCATAGGGGTGGAACCCCAGCATACGCCTAGTCCCCCGATGATAGAAAGTGGCCTCTTGGCACGTTTGTCGATTGAGTCCAAGGTGTCGGTAGTGTGAGTAGTGTCCAGTAGAAAGATATTTGCGTAATGTAATCGATATTGCTTGGTCGTAAATTTAATTACAAAACTAATAGTAACTGAGGTAAACAAAACATAATGTCGGTATTTATTACGCCTTCGACGACCTTGCGTTTCAATTTTAGCACTGCAGTGATTCAAACAAGTCGAAATTGCAAAATAGTGTTGTTCACTAAAAAAATATAACGGTATTTACAAAAAAAAGTCTTTCTGACGTATGAGTGAAATTAGCTCCTTTCTTTACAAAGCATTATGCAATTTGCAGACGTATTGCAATGACGTAGAAGAAAGAATTGCGCACATGGAAAAAGTTACAGCAGCTACATAATTAGAAAAGTTAATAATTTTGTAATGTAAACCTAGAAATATAGATCTTAATCGTTTTGGGTTAAGTTTTTCTTTTGAATTGGCTACAATAAAACGGACGTTTTGTCTTTAAACATCAATACAGATTATGTCATAAAAACTATCGATATTGTACTTTATATCAGGTCTGATAGATAACATTGTAATCGGAATCAGTTGTCAATGTCATACTTAGTGACCGAAAGAACTGTTCTCATTCTCTTTTCGTTACCGGTATTGAAACGTCTTTCTCGTACATTGTAAATTCTAGCTAACCCCTTTCGTTTTGTGTTCAATATTGTATGCTGTACGCGATGAACCACATGTAAATTAGGTCCACTGTCATACCATCTAGCAGAAGGTGCGCAGCGAATGCCGAAATTTTTGAAATTTTCCATCAAACACCTACTAGTACGTTGGATAATTGATCCGACCCTACGCCAGTGATCCATGCCTTGTTAGTCGACTAAATACAAATACTAGTGTACTAAAAACCGATTAAACCTACTTATAAAATGATCGCTTTTCCACACCGTCGTCTTATCTATTTTACAGCTTAACTACTTGAGTTTGTAAACTGGAGTGGGGTCGTTAACATGGCTATGATGGGCGCTCTCGACATCAATACCATTATATTACATATCACATTATAAAATTGCCTAAGCCTATTTTATAGACAAAGTAACTAAATACTTTTATGAATTGAAGATAGAAAAAGAATATGCAAACGAACACTCAGATTTTTAATGGTGCCTTGTAAATAGAATATTTAGTATTAATTTAAAAAATATATTATAGAGTTTCCTGCGGTGACGTCGAGAAGCTTAATTAAATAATTGATGATGATGATGATGACGGCTACCACTCTGAGTTAAATATTTTAAACTTAATATAAAACGAAGTATGTACCATTTAGCATGTTTTTAGCGATCATTCACCCCTTCCTACCACTGTAGTTCAAAGGTTTCCAGTAACGTGCGAGATTGTGATCGTTAGCGTATCGAAGAAGTCACCTCGATGTAAAATGACCTCAAGGATTGTAAACTTTGAATTAGTTTAATAATAAGAAAACTTATTAATTATAAATATTTTGCTTCTTTTTTCAAAGAATGTAATAAAAACGTAATAATACAAATACTAAGAAGCCGTCACTTTCAGAATCCGATTCAAATTACCAAATGTAAAAGTAGTATTACTTGTGGCAAAATAACAAATCAAATGAATAAAACAAATAATACCGAAACTAACAAAACGAACAGACAACATCAAACTTGAAACATGAATATTTCCGACTCAACCAAACGCAAGCGTACTCCGATATATTATGTTTGATAGATGTAAAACATTTTGTCTTACATCTATCTGAAACCGACTGTAGTTTTTTATACACGTTGAATGAAAAGCATAAGTACAGTTTGTATTTTTTAAATCACGAATTTAAAGAAACTGATTATAGTTATTATGCACTGAGTTTCAAATTATTAGTACTATTAAAGTGAAGTGGTATATTGGTAATGTAATTCTTATTGTCTATTTTCATTAAAACATGTATATCATTAAAGTGATATCTAATATAATATATTACAATAATAAAGACGTGATATTAACAACCTATAAATTCACAGAATGATATGATTTCTTAATTTCATTTTTTTTTAAGTTATGTTATTGGCTTATATTACGTCAATGAAGCGATGTCAAAATTGCGACAGAATTATACGGGTTTGGCGATCGGTCGCTGTCGAATTCTGACTTCGGGAGGAAAGTGGAGTCAATGACCGCCATTAACATGCTTAATGCCACGAACTATAGATAAAATGTACTTGAATATTTATTCGACATCTGTGCCATATACCGACGGGTGAACTAGAAAATGAAACTAGTATTTTCATTAACAACTGTCGCCCACACGTCGGTGAAATGCCTAAATATTCCAAACGGTTTTAAATACAGACTCGTTTATGAAACTTGGCGCCACACAGTAGTAATAAAATATGCCCAATATGGCGGCACACGAAATAGCTTTCTAAGAAATATTTTCACCTAAAAAAATTTTTCTAAATTGGTAGCAGTGTGACACGACACTTATTACTAAAAATGGTTTTATTAAAATTGCCGTTAATAATCATTGTATATTAATAAGCTAAAACAGGACATTTTAGTGGTTTTGTTTTATGATTTTCCGTAAACATGATTTTAACGACCTTACAGAAGCATTGCCGATTTTAAATAACTACCTAAATTAATATCTAGTGTTTTCCCTATTCCTATAACAACATAGTTCTACTAAAATTCATGCAGTACAAAGCTTCAGTTGCCTATTTAAGTTTAAACTAAAGTTACACAACTTCATTAAAACTTAATTTAACACTGCCTGTGCACTTTGCCTAGCTCACCCATAGTCATGAAATGAATAGGTAAGTATTATGTACCAGACTAGTTCACAATTAAATTTGACTTTGTTAGCGTTCAGTTTGTTGCTCTCTTCAACCCCAATATGCTATGTATTCTGACTTGTCTAATTAATTTAAAATATTAATACAGCTAGGATAGGGGGAGATCTAGAAGATAAAGTGAGAAATAGAATCAGAATAGTATTGTTGCATGTCAAAACGTTTTAGATTATTTTGTGCATTGTATAAAAAGGTGTAGTGAATCTGTAACTTCGTTGGTTTTAGGTAAGTATAGTTTTATAATTCTCTGGAGGAGTGAAATGATTTTCCAGACATATGATACAGGTTGTTTTACAGTTGATAACGAATAATTTCAGTACAATTGTGGCTAAGTATCTTCAGTACATGGCGTGTTTTTCTGTCTACTTATGTATAATTGTATTTGCACAAGTTCACCTTGCCAAGTTTGGTGAATTTACAAATTCTCGTTTTTAAGAAGAAGCCTATGAAGTTATTATAGTAGTTGTAGGGCTAGCACGACAGGACGCGACTTGCGCGAGAGCGACATAAAGCGCGGGATTTCTTTGCGAAAATAAAAGTATGTCGCATTTTATGTTGCTCTCGCACAAGTCACGCCTTTCGCGCTAGCCATATTGATGTGAAGGTATAACGACGGTACAATCGCAACTATTTGCGATTGTACCTGCGTAAACTATGTAGGTGCCTACTTTACCTCAAGTGGATGTAATGTCCTAGGAAACTAGTACCTAGGAAAATATAATAAATTTAATTAAATGAATTTTTTGCCTTCCTGAAAGCAACTAATTAAAGTACAATAATAATTATTCCACGATTTCAGAAGATACACCTGAAAAATACCACAAACGAATTATACGAACCATTTGGATAAATTCCAATTGAATCTGGAGACGGACGTTTTTACCTCTGCGTGGTTGCATTTATTATCATTCAACTGGAATTTTAGAATGAACCAGTCTAGTCTCTTAATCATATATTACACTGTACAAAAAGTTTCTTTTTCTGGTGTATTCACTTACACCCGCAATCGTTATCGATTCCAAACAATCGGAATCTCAGGAATAGACGCCGCGAACGCCGGCAACGTAAACAAATATAACACGCAGCAAACACTTCTTACGCCAACTCGATGAGATAAAATAGTCCTAAAATAAAGTATTACACCTAATTAGGGAAGAAATGCATCAAGATTTATTTATAAATACAACTTACCTGCAACAACCGTATCACTCAAGTCAAATTTTACAGGTTTCGGGAACTCCTTCAATTTTCTGCCACTCAGTTTCAGTTCACCACTCAAGTAAGCGTCTTCCAAAATTCTTTCTAACGATTTTGTTAACTGACTATGAATATTATTGTGCCCATTCATATTTACACTCACGCACGGCCCTAACACGGCCATATTCTTTTTGAACTAAAACGAAACTGACAAATTGTTTATGGTATTCTGAATGTGCTAACTTCATGGTGGTCGTTAACTTCGTAAGTGTCTATGTCAACTCGAACATCGAACATTTCGAAACGTGAATGGGCGGTTTTTTAAACCGAACAAAGTTCACTTTACGCGCTACCAACCTTAAAAAAAACGTAATGTAAAATGTCAGTCTGGGAGTGTGACATATGAAATAACCTCAAATTTGAAATTTTGTTCTGTGATATTTTTAGTTATTACCGAGCAGAATGACGATAACAAACGTAATAAGATTAACGAATCTTTTAAAAAATGCAACCAAATCAAATTTGTCTCAAATTGAGGTGAGGTTTTCATTGTGAACCGTAAATTGTGCATATTTGAAGCCGCCTGGATACTCCCTGTTTTTACGTAATTTTAAATATTATTACCATTTAAGGTTTAACCATAAAACGTTTATTATCTATTTTTTCAATTTATACCTTTGTCACCAATAGTTATCTAATTTGAAACAAATTCAATAAATGCTTCTGTTGCACATTGCTGCTAACCGTATTAGACTAATTTTCCACTAAGCGGCTAGTCGCTGGTGGGGACTGGTCGCGCGCGATTCCTATTTATTCAAATAAGTCATGTACCATATTAACAGAAGCGGCCGTTTGGAGTAAAACTATAATAGCCGCCGCGGCTAGTTGCTTAGTGAAAAGTAAATCTTACTGCTGTAGATATCGATAGATGGATATTTATATCTAAATATAAATCCTCATATCAAAACTTAAAACTCGTTCCAGTTTTTCTCTTCGCACATAAAATTTGCAGAGCACAAGCCCCTCGAGAAAATTAGAAATATTGGAATCTCTGCACACATAGACTCTGGCAAAACAACACTGACAGAACGAATATTGTTCTATACAGGCAGGATAGATTCGATGCATGAGGTTTGTATTGTACATAGAATCCATTGTACCTTAGTATCCTTCAATTTTGGAAATGCCGATAATATTGAGAATGTAGTGTATACTGTACACTTTAATAAAAGCTACTGAGGCACGTTGTATTATCTTGTTGACAACATTACATATTGCATTACATGATGTCAGCTGTATGTGTCTCTATGAATGATACAATTTGATAGAAGCAGAACACTGACAACTTAGATTTGCGCTGTGGGCACTGGATGAGGAGGTCCTGGTTTTGATTTGTGGTAGGTAAACTTTTGTAAATTGGTCTTAGGGTCGTATTCTAGAACTCTACTCAATGCTCAAGTCAGGATTTGAGTATGGTTTAAAGCACTCGCAATCATACTCAAGTCGCTGCTACTATGGTCGTATTTCCAGTGCTTGAAATCATACTCAGATCCTGACTTGGGCATTGAGTAGAGTTCTGGAATATGACCCTTAGTCTGGGTGTTCTGGGTAGTGCCCTGGAGTAAATTCTGTTACCCAGGTATCGTAGTACAGGGGATTCTATAGCTTGTGACCAGGTAGTTCATGTGGTTGTCTGGCACATTATTATTATTACTGAGTACTTTGCATGTGTGAGATTTGATAAGTGCCATAAAAGCCTTGTCACAAAGTGTATTGCATCAATTTGGTGACTGGAAGTAAAGTAATTCTGACTTCTCACATCCTGGCGAGCTCGCGTCAACGCGCTGTGGAAAGAGTGCCGCCCGTGCCGGCGTGTGCTCAAATGTAAGGGCCCATGGCTCATTTTTGCTCATTGCAGCACAAGCACTGAACAATTTGATTTAAACTGTTTGTTCATATGTATATAAACTAAAGTATGTGAGTAAAATGTTGGAAATTACAGGTTAAAGGCAAAGATAATGTAGGAGCAACTATGGACTCCATGGAGCTTGAACGTCAACGAGGCATTACAATTCAATCAGCTGCTACATATACCATTTGGAAAGACCATAATATCAACATTATTGACACTCCTGGCCATGTAGATTTTACTGTAGAAGTAGAAAGAGCACTGAGAGTATTAGATGGAGCCGTCTTGGTTCTTTGCGCCGTAGGTGGAGTGCAGAGTCAGACATTAACAGTGAATAGACAGATGAAACGGTATAGTGTACCGTGTTTAGCTTTTATTAATAAATTAGACAGGTTGGCAGCAAATCCTGAGAGGTATGTGTACAATATTAATATCTCTGTTGAATAATATTTTGTCATAATAAGTCATACTTTTGCTTATGTGGAGTGCTTGAAGCCATAAAAGATGTAAAATGCTTCAATGGCTTATTCCTGTGTTCTTGACAGCTGGTTTGAACCAAATCTTTGCACTAGATTCTAGTTTAATAATTGGGTTAAGTTAAACCTGAAATGAAGTGATATTTTACTTTATTTACCTTCTGTGATGTCACCTACAGAACTCAAAATAAATAATGCAATGATAGCACTAATAATAAACAATTCTTTTCAGAGTATTGAAACAAATGAGATCCAAAATGAATCACAATGCTGCATTCCTACATTTACCTATAGGCTTAGAAAAAGATTGCCAAGGTATTCTAGACCTCATTGAAGAGCGAGCAATATACTTTGATGGTGATTACGGCGAAAAAATGAGATATGATGAAGTCCCACAGGACAGGAGAGCTGAGGTGAAAGATAAAAGACATGAGCTTATTGAGCATTTGTCTAATGTGGATGAGACTTTAGGTAGGAATTATATTTATATTGTCGAATTTATTATCGACAAAGCACTTAAAAACCCACATACAGGACACAGGTCTATCTTAAGATATCACGAATATGATAGAGCAGATTATCGGTCCAATGCATGTAAGGTACACCCCACAAGTTCCTGTACCTTTTTCATCATCTAGTCTTTAAAGACTTTTGTGTGCTTTGTTTGATATTATCTGATACTTCTTCATCAATCAAGCAACTTAGAAAGAAAATTATGTTCATTTGTTCATTGCCACTATATGTTATAAAGTTTTATAAGTTTTTGACATCAGAATGCTAACTAAAGCCTTAACATTGTGGCTTGAATAAGCACATATCAAATATTGGACAGACAGAAAACACAATGTAGATTTTGTCACGAGGCGGATGAAACTCAAGTGCATCTCCTCACCCTGTGCTGCCCTCTGATGGGCGTAAGAAATTGCATACTGGGTAGGCACAGGCCACACCCAGACTACATAAAGACTGTCGGAGCCAGGAAAGTCCTTCAGTTCCTTAATGCTGTTGGTCTTGGCTCCGAGCTGTGATCAGTGGTGATCACAATAGATCATTTATGGTCGCAGTGATGGGCCTCATAGGCCCCAAATAAAGCCACCCTAATAATAATAATAATAATATAAAGTTTTACTTAACATTCGTGGACCCTGTTACACCACTACAAGGTTTAACAATTTGAAAGAAGAACTTGTGATTACTCACTTTACAATAATAAAGAACATGCAATTATTATTTATACAATTGATTAAAAAATTATTTAATTAAAAAATACAAATTTAACTCTTGACAAAATTATAATATATGACTTATCATTATAATCTAAAATATACAACTACAAACAATGCAATGGCATAAATATGGACATTTGCATTTGATGACTTTAGAAACCAGATTAAAAAAGAACATTGTTTTCTGATTCCTATATTTTTCATTTACAGGAGAACTTTTCCTCGAAGAAAAAACACCAATGGTTGCAGACATAAAACAAGCAGTTCGTCGAACGACTCTAAAACGTACATTTACGCCAGTTCTTTTAGGCACTGCATTGAAAAACAAAGGAGTCCAACCATTATTGAACGCAGTAATAGATTACCTCCCCAACCCTGGAGAAATAGAGAATACAGCTATTTTGAATGAGGGGAAAGGCACCGAGGGACAAACAATTGTATTAGACCCGGCTAGAGATGGATTGAAGCCATTTGTGGGTCTCGCTTTCAAGTTGGAATTGAGCAAATTTGGACAGTTGACCTATTTGAGATGCTACCAGGGAGTTTTAAAGAAAAGTGACAATATTTTTAATGCTAGGACTGGGAGAAGGGTGAATATAATGTTTTATTGTATTACCTGGCAAACCTAAGCTATCATAGATTGTTTTTACTTTTTTTTATGGATTTGACCAACTTCTGCTTCCCAATTTTTTTCTTCCGATGCAATGAATTTATCCTTATAAGAAACTGTGTCTTTTAGCATTAAAGAAAAAAAAATAAATTTTATTCATTTTGTATTAAAAAATATTTTATAAAATTTGATTAACTTCTGCTGTCCCAATTTATTTTGTCCCGTAAAATGAAATGATCTCTTCATGAAACTTAGTTGATCAGCACTAAAAAAATTGTGTTCAACTTTATGCATTTTTATTGACAACTCACGCTTGACCAAAAAATTGATTATGCTAAAATTGTTTTCACAAAAAAATTCTTAATGGTTCCTAAGGTTGCTTGTATTTTCTAGGGTTTCGGATTTCCCCATACTGTCCCATTTAAAAAAAAACACTAGATTTTATAGTTTTCTTAAGCCGTTATTTCTATTATGCACAATTGGACTGGTGGGTTTGATACATGCAGAAAACCTTTAATCACATATATTGTGTAGCGCTACCCATCTGCTACATACTAATATTTTATTATTTTAGGTAAAAGTGTCCCGCCTGGTCAGAATGCACTCAAATAACATGGAGGAAGTGAACGAAGTGTACGCTGGCGACATATTTGCACTGTTCGGCGTAGATTGCGCCTCTGGGGACACTTTCGTGAATGACAGCAAACTCAACTTGTCTATGGAATCCATACACATTCCCGATCCCGTTGTTTCTATGTCTATTAAACCAAAGAATAATAAGGATAGAGATAACTTTTCAAAGGCTGTTGCAAGGTATGTAATACGGACCGTTCTTATATCGATCGGTATAAAGTTAAATTTTAAATTTTTAGGGTCCTGAAATAATTTAGAAAAGATTATTTCCTAAATTGGTTCATCCACCTCCTACGATCGAGATCGTCAATGTATTGAGGCATCATTATTTTCATTAACACTAGAGCAGAAGCTGTATATGAAACTTTTTGTAAATATGCTTATGAATTCATCTCTATATTATTTATTGAGATTTTTGTGAAATAATTCCACTAGTTTTGTTGTGAAAACACAGAAAAACTCGGTGGGTATTGAACCCACGTCCATGCTGCACCGTAGCATTGCTCTAACCATCTGAGCCACGGGTCCAGTTACCGGGTAGTCGAAATTCTCCTATGTGTTTTTGTTATAGATTATTAGATTTTTGTGTTTACTTTCGGCATTTGTCGCCGCTAGAGACATCTAGTGAGAGATTTTTGAATAACCGTCTCATCTATATGATCTCTATATTATTATTATATTATCGTGTGCAGTTAATGTGAAGTACATACACAGTGTAGAGAAGAGACAAAAATATCCTTCAATATGAACAATTTTTACTATGGGAATTAAGATCTATCTACAATTACATATATTTCGTAGCAGTAGCCATTTTCAAGAACAATATAAAACATCTTGCATTAATTTTTAAACCTTTTCACTTTTCCACTATTCTTTAAATCTTCTTTTGTGATGGTACCGCCTTTGTTTACATATTGGGACTTAAATTTCATCTCAGAGTTTACGTGATGGTAAGTAGTAGAGCTTTAGTAGAGGTCCTTGTGAAAGTGTTCATCCAGCGTGGTACTGCCACCTTACTGTTTCTGCCGCCAAGCAGTAAAACGAGCATTGCTGCATTCCGGATTTGAAGGGTTGCTGCAGGGAAGCTGCTGGTGAAATTACAGGCACATGAGACTTTTCAACTTATGTCTCAGGGTGACGGGCGCAATGGGAGTACCCTTTGAGCGGCACTGCAACTGTTATGGACAGGCGTGACGCTTACCATCAGGAGCACGACTTGTTCCTCCCGTCACGCGATGTTATAAAAAAAATGTAATCGCGAAAATGTCAACCTGTATAAAATGTTACTATTTGCAGATTCACCAAAGAAGACCCGACCTTCCAATTCCGCTACGATGGTGATAACAAGGAGACCATAGTGTCGGGCATGGGCGAGCTTCATCTCGAGATCTACGCGCAGAGGATGGAGAGAGAATACAATTGTCCCGTCGACTTGGGCAAGCCTAAAGTCGCATTTAGGTACCTACGCTTAGAAAAATTACACACCTAATTACTTTTTTTTTTTCATTTATAGAAAATATTTAAATTTATAGAGAAACATTAATGTCGGCGTGTGCCTTCGACTACTTGCACAAGAAGCAATCGGGTGGTGCTGGACAGTATGCTCGAGTCATTGGCATCTTGGAACCGCTACCGCCTCTGCAGAACACCAGTAAGTTTACATTGCTATTGAATAGTTATAATCCTCTTACTGTAATAATCAGATTTTTTTTAATTTAGACCAAAATATAAGCTTTCGCTTAGTTTGGGATTCAGGAGTTTTAAACATTTTATAAGTTGCACGTACAACCATAGATATAAGTGTGTGGTATGTAGCATGCCTACTGTTTTTGATTTTATTATATGTGTATATGAATGAATACAAATAAATATTATTATTTATAGTTCTATAAGCAAATCTTCAAATCACATATCCATCTATGCCTACGAACTATCAGTAGTGTCATATGGTATAGTTAATGTCCTAAGGTAAATAACTCCCTAGCCGAGTTTTTGGTTCTGAAAACCTTCTTATGCATTCAACAGAAAAGTGTATAGAATTTCCAGCTTTTTGGTTGAAATTTGTATTTATGTAATGTAATTAAAGATCAATTGGTTTAAAAATGGGTATCTTAAAACTTCATTCACTAATATTGCAATAAGGAAGTCATACCAAAATGAGTTTTACGTCCCACAGGAAGGTTAAGGTTGTTTAACATCTTTCTTCACACGGATCTACTCAGAACGAATAGCCGGTGCAAACGCGCGTTTCACGAACGCGCGTTTGCATCACTACTAAAAGTCGCCGTTTGTAATGACAGTACAGATGACACGTTACCATCGAGTATATAACCAGAAATAGAGACGAAATAGGGGCCATATATTCCTGACAACACGTTAGCGATACAGCTCTTATAAATATCAACTTTCGTTTGCATTGAAATATAGACAGGCCAACTATTGACCTGTGTGTACGTCTCTGTATATTCCAAAAAATATTCTGTATTTATTATAATAAAGATAATATCTTTAACAATGCCGTGCTGTTCTATTCGGTGGTGTGGGAAAAACAGCAAAACATCTAATTACAAAACAAACGGAATCACATGTCATCGGTAATTAAATATTGAATATGTAATTTTCATTGACTTACAAATAAATGGACGACGGGTCTAATACAAAAACCACGAAAAAAATGTCCCAAGTCAACCTATTCGAAATTTAAATTGTAATGTCATCGCAGTATCGCGCTGTCAGTCGAACAAATGAAGACTAAAGCGGAGTTTGGCGCTCTGTATACGATTTTAGCGCCTTACAAGTGCAGACACTTTTTAGCGCGGACCCGATGTCCATATAATTGTAAGTCAATGGTAATTTTACAATTTTCGTCCATTATAGCAAAGTTCAAGTTAACTGGTCGATTTGAAGTGAAACAGTTGACGACACCCATTGACGACACCCATCAATTGTTTCGAATTCGGACTAGCCAATCGGAGCGCAGTTATCACAGCAATGATATGGCAGGATAGTTTTCAAACAAATTAAATGACATTTCGTCTCTATTTCTGATTATATACTCGATGCACGTTACACATTACCGAGACGGCTCACTCTTTTGTCCTATTGTATTCTTCAGATGAAGCGATAAGATGAATTGGTGCAAATAAATGTTTCGTCAAGTATACTCGCTGATTGTTACCAAGGTTGCGCGAGCCGTACGAGAAATATAATTCGTACGTCATTGCGGGAAGACTCCTCGTCAAAGAGAAAGAAATCGTGTATGACAAACTTACTATTAGAGACTCCCCAAACTAGCGTTTTTCGAACGTCAGCGTCTTGACAACGCACAGCGTCGACACGATATCCGTGCAACCGCGCCGTATAACCGACACTATTCAGAAGTCGCTCAGTGCTGGCGTTGTTGTTAACAAATTAGTTAGGGATACTACGTTGCGTCGCCGTCGCGCAGACGTCGTATCGACGATGTGCGTGTATTGGCAGACGCTGACGCTCGAAAGACGCTAGTGTGGGGGGTCTCTTATTACAATTTATTTCCGTGTAGGGAGTAACCACACTTATCGATACGGAACCATATTAGGTCGATTAGAAGAAGCTCTATACTCATGTAATAAGAGCGAAAAGGACGTGAATTGAAACGCGCAATGTCTTTTTCGCTCTTTATTTTTTCATTTTTTGAATTTGTTAATTGCATATCACGTTTTATTTAAGATGGAACATTAATTGGTGGTATACATGTGACGCCCTGCAAGGGCACAGCAACGTCTGAGGGCTAAATTCATAAATCACACTATTTAATTATATTAAATTATTGCATTACAATATCATAACATTAAATTATTATATCACATTAATATTATTATAAATTAGTAATGGAAAACTTACTTCATTGCTTGAATATAAAGAGTGCTGACGTAGTAACTCCCTAATTTATTATTAATTTATTTTCAGTGCTAGAGTTTGTGGACGAGACAATCGGAACAAACATTCCCAAGCCATTCGTGCCAGGCGTCGAGCGAGGTTTCATCGACACTTGTCAAAAAGGCTATTTGACCGGACACAAGATATCGGGCGTCAAATTCCGCTTGCAAGACGGCGCTCATCACATTGTGGACTCTAGTGAACTGGCTTTCTTTTTGGCTGCTAAAGGCGCTGTTAAGGATGGTAAGAGTTGTATATTTGTTACATCTTATTATTCAGCATGAGTCTCCGTTTGGGAGAAAGTTCAGACCATAGTGCACCGTATTAGCCCAAAGTTTAGATTGTTCACGTATTTTCAAAGAGTATAGAACGTCGACTCAACATTCTAAAAGTAAAAAAAAATGTTTATAGTCTCTTTCTAAACATACTTATACCTCCAATTTTTAATCCCACTCTTTTACCGTGACTGCGATGAGACTATGGAATTCCCTCCCTGAATTTATTCGACGATCCCCTCCTCTTACCTGCTTCAAACAACCTGACAAGGATAGAAGTTTCGTCTTTTCTCCTCTATCCCTTTAGTCTTTATTTATATTTTATTTTCTTACCTTTTTTCCTTCGAAAGTTTAAAAGTATTTAATATTATTATTTATCGTTTTGCATTAATATTACTATTATTTATATATCATTAGTCTATCTAGATACATGTTTTTATGAGTACTTATTGTCTATCGTATTTATGAAAATATTCTTTGGTTGCATAACCCAAATTTCTATTCTACGATTGCCAGGAAGAAATTGCTACATAGCAATAAGGCCGCCTGTTGCATATTAACGCAGTAATTTTACGTGCAATAAAGAATGTTTATTTAATTCATTCATTCATTCATTCTTTATTCTCATGGAATGTTTGTTACATATCATTTAATTTAATATCATCATCTTACTCTAGTGTAGTATTGAATACCACTTTATTTAATTCGACAGTATTCGCCAATGGCAGTTGGCAAGTCCTCGAACCAATAATGTTCGTTGAAGTGACAATGCCTGATGAATACCACGGAACAGTTATCGGTCAATTGAACAAACGCGGAGGCATCATCACTGGCACGGAGGGCGCGGAGGGCTGGACCACGATCTATGCTGAAGTACCGTTAAATAACATGTTTGGATATGCTGGAGAGCTCAGGTTGGTTATTTAGCTATTTTAGAATATATCAGACTCACTCAGTTATTGACAGAATGACTATTGAGTATCGGTACGTTTGCCGATAAGTTTTAGGCTGGTTTCAGAGCAGCGCGGATTTATCTGCGGACCGAATAACACGTGTGGCATTAGAACACCGTTTTACAGTGACGCGAATTGCTCCGCACAAGCCAGCCCTACTTTTATTGTACGCGACTGTCTTTCGTGCATATTCGCACTAAATTAAATACTCGATTCAGAGCACTGTGGATTTTACGCATACGGATGACCCGCAGGCGGACAGTCCGTACGGACCGTACGCAGAGCTGTGAAACCAGCCTTAAAGACACATATTAGTGCTGAGTTACGTAACCAGGCGCATATGCTTGCGTAACTGTATTGCACTGTAGCACCTAGACTTCGTCATCAGTGGTCGGATATTCGGATGCTTGTTTGTTGACTTCAGAAAAGTAGAGGATTCTCAATTCGGTTGTATTTTTTTTTTTGGTGTGTATTTGTGAACTAATTTGGATGATTCTTTTTTGTTGGCAAGGTACTTCGGTGGTCTTGTTCAAATTCGAAGAAAATATTTCACCTTTAAGGGCGGCAAATTAGAGGATGAAATCGGTTTATTGAATTTCACCCACTTTCCGTAAACCGATTTCAATGAAACTGGGCAAATAGATGTGACTTGTGTCGGTTTTGTTTTTATTAAAAAGTTAAAGTATACACCTAAAAGGGGGCATTTATTATAAATGTGTTGATGATGGTGTCTTTCCTGACCTCATGAAGCAAAGTTATTCCACTTTTCTAATCTGGTAGTATTTCAGACCCTACCAATTTCAGACCTATATCAATACTACCAACTCTCAGTAAAATATTTGAAAAAAATATTCTAAATCAAATGTGTGCACATTTTTATAGTTATAACTTAATGTCTCCTAAATAATTTGGTTTCACTCGGGGTCGCTCTACAACCGATGCTGGTGTTAAGATGATGAATCATATATTTGATGCATGGGAAGTCTCATGATGCTTTTTTGGCGTATTCTGTGACCTTTCCAAGGCTTCTGATTGTGTGCACCATGATACACTGGTAAGGAAACTTCGCCATTATGGTGTGGCGGGACGTGATCTCGACCTTCTTTTAACGGTGCGAGATCATCAGGATCTGCAATTAGCTTGGGTGTCCCTCAAGGTTCAATTCTAGGCATTTTTGTTTTTTAGTTTATATTAATGACTTACCTAGCCTCATGGAGGGTATAAAACATGTGATAGTATTGTTTGCTGATGATACTTCCTTATTATTTAAAGTTAAAAGGCACCAATGTTCCTAAGACGATGTGAACAATGCTATATCTAAAGTAGTTGATTGGTTTGCTGTTAATAACCTACTCCTTAATGAGAAAAAACAAATTGTGTGAAATAACATTACCGAATGTTAGAGAGACGGTTACAAACATTGTAGTTAGAAACGAAAAATTGAATCATGTGGATACAGTTGTATTTCAAGGTATAACGTTAGATGCTAAATTGCAATTGGGTCCCCATATAAGTAAGTTATCAAAACGGCTCGGCTCTACAGTGTACGCGATTACAAAAATACGGAAACTTCCAGACGTCGAAACCGCTAGATTGGTTTACTTCAGCTACTTTCACAGTCTAATGACATACGGCATTTTGCTTTGGGGTAATACCGCCGATATCAATAGAATCTTTGTCCTGCAGAAACGTGCGGTTAGGGCAATTTACAATCTGGACCCCCAAGTATCTTTGAGAGATAAGTTTAAGGAAACTGACATTCTTACACTAGCCTCACAGTACTATTTATGAAAATGTAATTTATGTTAAAAGGAATAGTAATTTCTGTATGAAAAATAGTGACAGTCATAACATTAATACGAGGAACAAAATTAAACTAGCTGTTCTTGATAGTCGTCTTCACAAAGTCAAAAAATCATTTAAGGGACAATGTATATCCTTGTATAACAAGATTCCGGTTGATATACAAAATTTGCCTTTCACGAGGTTTAAAATTATAGTGAAACAAAAACTTTATACTAAAGGTTATATATACAACTTCTGCGTACTTGGATGACAAAAATCCGTGGTAGTAACCCGTTTAGCTCATGGAGGTAGTCTCGATCTCTGATGTTTCAAAACAAAAAATATATTGTAAATGTTGAATGTGTACAAATGTTATTTACAAAGAGCAACCCCTAGTTTCTTGCTTATTCTTTTCAGGGGAATCTGCCTTACGAATGATCGGTAGAGTTTAACCAATGTGACGATTTCAAGTGTAATAATGCTTACCTATGAAATAAAGATTATTTTGAATTTGAATATCCTGCATTGCAGTCCGCTTTGCCGTCCACCGCGTAATTCAGGGTTATGAATGTAGTCGCAGCATTGAAGCCGTCCCGCAATGCGTCCTGCCAGACTCGATACGAGGTCTATACGCAGGATAGTGTGTGAGCAGTCTCCTGCCAGCGTGGCGGACTGCCTTGCAGGCAGTGAATGGGCCGTTTAAAATTTATTTAGAATAGCTATCGAAATATGGAATCGGTTTCATAAAATATATTTTTTACTTCCTTAAATCTCGGGATGCTGATTTTATATTTAAATACATATATATATTTTTTAATAAAACTAAGTGACGGGACGAACAAGTCGTGTGTCTGGTGGTAAGCGTCGCGCCTGTCTCTAACAGTTGCAGTGTCACTCAGAGCTTTAAATCACAAAGATCTGATGGGCACTGCCACTGCGCCTGACACCCTGAGACATAAGTTGACAAGTCCCATGTGCCAGTAATTTCACCATCTTAAAAGTCTGATGATGATCTGGAATATGACAACTGGATTTCAGTTCTGTGAACAGTTAGAAGTATGAAATTTTAATTTAAACGATAGTATGAGAGCTTCGGTAAACAATATTAAAACTATATTTTTTTATACCTGATACCGAAGTTTTAGTAGCAGTAGAGCCCCTAGTGAAATAGTACGTCCAAGGAAGTACTGCCACCTTACCTATTTCTGCTACAAAGCTGTAATGTGAGCAAAACTGCGTTCCGGTTTTGAAGGGTAAGGGTGCTGGTGAATTTGTAGGCACATGGGACTTGTCAACTTTATGTCTCTGGGTGACAAGCGCAGTGGCAGTGTCCCTCGGATGTTTAAATTTAAAGCTCTGAGTAGCACTGCAACTGCTATGGACATTCGTGTCGCTTAACACCAGACGCGTGAGTTGTTCGTTCTGTCACGTCATTTGGTATAATAAAAAAAAAGTTTTTACACTTTGCCCTTTCTGTATAATATTATGAGTGCATTTAAATGTTACATAAAAATACAAATAACATTTTAAACGTTTATTTTCCTTAAAATTTACACTTATATTCATCGATCCCGGCGGAGTGTTTTCGATACAAAAGCGCATTCAATGTCCTAGCATTCGATTATCCAACCACTACACTATAGAATGTTAATCTTATATACTGTGCTCACCGAGTATATAACCAGAAATTATCGATGACTGTGTTCTACCTGGTACCGTGACGTGAGTTGAAAAATAGTGAAGTTATGGCGCTAGTGTCAAGTTTTCACATTTATGTTAGTGTTGCCAATACAAAAAAAATCTTTAAAATTCCGCGACATAGCATCTGAAGTGGTGTATTATTATTATTATTAGGGTGGCTTCATTGGGGTCCTATCCTCATCATTGCGACCATTAACAGATCTATTGTGATCACCACTAATTACAGTACGGAGCCAAGACTAACAACGTTAAAGTGGTGTAACACACATTATATTTTTTCTACAATATTACTTTAAATTAGATTAAAGTACATAATTATTTGGGTGCTATTTTCATGTATAAAAAATATTTAATTATTCAATTTTGAATGACTCAATTTACTACCTTGCTTTCTCTGATTTCCTCAAACAGACGTACTTTAGTGTAATTCAGAGTCACTTACAATTATTGTTTTCTTTTAGATCGATGACGCAAGGCAAAGGAGAGTTCAGTATGGAATATAGCCGCTACTCCCCATGCCTACCTGATGTACAAGAACAATTAATTAGGAAATATCAAGAAGAAATGGGTTTACTGCCTGAACAAAAGAAGAAAAAGAATTAACCGCCTTAGACAATTTTAGATTAATTTATTTGTTAATATTATTGTAATAATAAGCTAATAAAAGTTTAATCATACGAAATTATCGCTGAATCCATGTTTTATCTGACTAGTAGATATTTTGTATATCACTATTTTTACGGACAACCCCCTGAAAACTTGGGTAACCTATATGTACGAGATGGTATAGTCAAGTTTGTTCGTGTTGAAGTATAGAATAACTAATTATCCACATTTAGTTTTTAACATCGAGTATATGTTTCTATACACTTTTTCTTAGTTACAGGCCCATAGGACTTGTCAATTTATGATTCGGGGCGTCGGGCATATCGGCAGTGCCCGTCCGAGTGGCACTGAAACTTACGGACAGGCGTGTCGCTTACCACCAGGCGCACAACTTGTTCGTACTTCATCATCCATCATATCAGCCGGAAGACGTCCACTACTGAACATAGGCCTTCCTCGAAGATTTCCAGAGCAGCCCATCGCACGCGACGTGCATGCATCGGTTATCCGCCGCCCTTACCAGGTCATTCGTCCATCTAGTAGGAGGCCGTCCCACTGAACGCCTTCCGGTTCGTGGTCTCCATTCAAGAAGCTTTCTGCCCGAACGCCATCAGTTCCACGTGCTATGTGCCCTGCCCACTGGCACTACAACTTGCTAATCCTTCGAGCTATGTCGGTGACTTTCGTTCTTCTACGGATCTCCTCATTTCTGGTTCGTTTACGTAGAGAAATGCCGAGCATTATTCGCTCTATAGCTCGTTGAGTGACTTAGAGCTTTTGTATGAGGCCCATAGTAAGTGACCACGTCTTAGAGCCGTAGGTCATCGCTGGCAACACGCACTACTTGAAGACTTGTCTTCAAGGATTGCGGTGTTGCAGATAAGAAGATGTCCCAGAGCTTCCCGAAAGCTGCCCAACCGAGTCGGTTTCGGCGATTGACCTCTTTCTCGAAGTTAGCCCAAGCTATTCCAACGATTCTGCCATGACCACGATATCGTCAGCAAATCGAAGGTGAGTGATGAACTCGCCATTGATGTTGATGCCGAGTCCTTTCCAGTTCAGTAACTTGAAGGTATCTTCCAATGCATTGGTGAACAGTTTCGGAGAAATGACGTCTCCCTCTCGCACTCTTTGCAATTGGATAGGCCTTGTGTACTGGTCCTGTAGTCGAACTGGCATAGTGGCGTCTCTGTACAAATACTTCTATGTATCAATAGTCAATGTGGCACCGTTGTAGAGACTAGCACCGCCCAAATCTCGATCGAATGAAAGGCTTTCTCATAATCCACAAACACTAAGAATAATGGCAGGTTATACTCCTCTGTCTTTTGTATAACCTGCTGCAGCGTGTGGATGTGGTCTATGGCACAGAAACCCTTTCGGAAACCGGCTTGTTCGGGGGGCTGGAAGTCGTCGAATCTGCGCGCGAGACGGTTCGTGATCAGTTTATAAACGTGGCTTAGAAGCGAGATGGGCCTGTAATTCTTCAATAGAGTGTTATCTCCCTTTTTGAAGAAGAGTATCACCACGCTCCTGGCGTAGAATCTTCGAGCAAGACTGAATTAAAGAGTCTCTGAAGGACTCTTAGTACCGATGTTCCACCCGCTTTCAGTAGCTCGGATGTAATTCTTGCACTTGGGGATACTTTTCTGTGCTATACATTGGAGGGTTTTAGACCATTTCCCCGTCACGCTGGTCCAATGCGTTTTGGCAGGTCGCCTCGTCGGTAGGAGCAGGATGTACCGCGTGCAGGTGAGGTTGGCTATTGAGCACCGTAGGTGTTGGGTGGCGCCCCTTACATGCCTTCTTTCGTACTTGGACCTAAAATAATAATATTTTTCGGATATGAAACTATTATTAAAAAGACATTAAATTCGATAGATGACGTCAACCCATGCTTTTTCGGACTTTTTAAAATCGCTATATTTACGGTAAACCCCCTCAAAACTTACGTAACCAGGCGGTCTCAACAACTTCTATCGTTTTTCTGTTATCAAAAAAAAAAAATATAAATCACTTTGATGACTTACTTAGTGAGTCAGTTTCCTTAGGACAACACCGTATTCCATCAAAAATTATATAGCAGTATACTAGGTTTTTACGCGCCAAATCGTAATTTGAATGTTTGATAGAGGTTTGCTAGATTTATTGTGGCAGTCATTGACTTACAAATAAATGGACGACGGGTCTAATACAAAAACCACGAAAAAAATGTCCTAAGTCAACCTATTTAAACGTAGTGACATGTAAAGGAATATGAAAAAGTTAAAACGTTGAATTTAAATTGTAATGTCATCGCAGTACTGTCTAATTTTGCTTGCTTCGCTGTCAGTCGAACAAACGAAGACTAAAGCGTGAATGACGCTCTGTATACGATTTTAACGCCCTATAAGTTCGGACACTTTTTAGCGCGGACCCGACGTCCATATAATTGTAAGTCAATGGTGGCAGTGCTAGCTTTTTTCGTAGGTTGGTTATATCCTCCTAGGATACCTCTCCATCGCGGGGGCCAGACTTCTACCGGCTAAAACCCCACGGTGGCTTTCTCGGATGCTCTAGTGGGCGGGATCCCGGATCCCGGATCACTTGAGGGATCCTTTGCGTGTCGGAACCCCACAGCACCTAGAAGGAGCTACGTCCTCCCCCTTCTCTCCTCACCACGGGATCGGCCCTCTCCCGACCACACTCGGCCCTCTCCCGACCACACTCGGCAACCTGAAGCATCACCGCATCACAGAAGGAGACCACTGCCTCTTGGGACTCTTGTTCCGCCAGCATAGCCGCTACCAAGCCTGGCGGAGGTAGTTGCATGCAAAGCTAAGGAAATACGTAGTGAATACCTAGTGATGTGCTACACTGTGGATACGTGCGGGGGTGAAGGGCGAAATACATATTTTACATAGCTTAGCGGGATCGTTGGGTTAGTTTCGTTAGCTCGGTTAGCTTAGTGTGCGATACTCGTTACTGGATAGTAATGGTATAAGTAGAACGTGTCCCTGGTTCTGTAACCCCGGTAACATTCTTTCTTACTAGATGGCACTGTACTTCAAAATACAGCGCCATCCCCATGTTGACTTAGGCTCGGGGCACTACGCGGCGACTGTCCTGGCGCGGTTTCCCCCACTGGACATTCTGGCGGAGATGAACGCACGTATTTGTATGGAGATAAACGCGCGCGCCTCCGCCAGGCGGAGGAAGCTGCGCCGCCGTAAGTGCGGTGGCAGGAGCGCCGATAGGCGTTCGAGAAGTGGCGCGAGAGGCTGGAACAGCCGTGGAACCTCGAAGCCTGGTTGAGCCAGCGGAAGTGCGTTACCACCTTCCGACTGACACTGCTTCGGTGAGTATCTGAATCGGATCGGACGCGAGTCGACGAGACAGTGCCACCACTGTGGGAGGGACCAGGATTCGCCTAGCACATGTTGGAGGAGTGCCGCGCATGGACCTCCGAGCGGAACATCCTGGTTGCCCGGATCGGGCGAGATCTCTCTCGGCCAGGCATAGTAGCGGCTATGTTGGCGCATCAAGAGTCCCATGAGGCAGTGGTCTCCTTCTGTGAAGCGGTGATGCTTCAGAAGGAGGTCGCCGAGCGTGATCGGGAGAGGACCGATCCCGCTCGGCGGCGGCGTACCTTCGCGGCTGCAGGCGATCGGAGCGGGGGCTTCGTTCGCCAGTAAATTAGGCAGCCGCGAGGAGGACGACGGGGCTGTGTGGCCCGCTTCGTGACGAGGGGGAGGACGTAGCTCCTCCTAGGTGCTGGGAGGGTTCCGGTTCGCAAAGTCGACCCCGGATCCTTCCCACTACAGCACCCGAGAAGACCTCCGTGGGGTTTTAGCCGCCCCCGCGGCGGAGAGGTATCCTAGGAGGATTTCCCCACGCAAAAAAAAAAGAAGTATGAATTGAAGATGCCCCGGCTACGTGAGCTAAGTTAGCTTAGCTTCGTTCGCGATGTGGCCTGTGCTTAATAATTATCTCGAGGTACTTGTTTATTTTGTTTGTTTATTTATTCAATTTACTCGTTTTTATCGTAAAAATAAGTGTGAAAGCTATGCTGCCCTCCTTATCACAGCTAACTTAATCGATATTTGCTAGAAGACGTCGGTTCGAGTCCGGCCGGATCGAAGGAATTTTGTCTAAGGGTCGTATTCCAGAACTCTACTCAATGCTCAAGTCAGGATCTGAGAGTCGTATTCTAGAACTCTACTCAATACTCGAGTCAGGACCTGAGTATTGCAGTGAGCACTGAAAATCATACTCAAGTCCTTGCCATTAGGGTCGTATTTCCAGTGCTTGAAATCATACTCAAGTCTGCTCAAATCCTGACTTGAGCATTGAGTAGAGTCCTGGAATACGACCTTTTGTATGATTTCAAGCACTGGAGATACGACCCTAATGGCAGGGACTTAAGTATGATTTCGAACTTTAAACTATACTCAAATCCTGACTTGAGCATTGAATAGAGTTCTAGAATACGACCCTATGTGTTCGATCTTTGTGTTAATTGTTATAACAAACTAGCGGAGGAATTTCACAAAAGATGATTCAATATCAGTGGTGAAACATCCTGACATTCAATAAAACACTTAATTACAGTGAATAGCGACATCTCTAGCCAAGGCTGGTAGCTGTAAAGGTACCTAACTGGGTGACGTTTACTTTCATAGATGACGCTACGGTCGTCGTCGTAAAAAAAGTCGTTGAAAATCAAATGCAGATGCAACAAGCACATAGGAAAATTCGTGAAGTCCGTGGTTCGTTGTTGTATGATTTTTTCCTTACTTAGCATAGCGTCTGCCACGGTTTGCTAGGAGACGTCGTCGGTTCGAATCCGGCCGGATCGAAGGAATTTTTTCTATGTGTTCGATCTTTGTATTATAACAAACTAGTGGAACAATTTCCAAAAAAAAAACAATTTTTTTTTGGGAATGTCATGGAGGTTGGAACTTGTGGTGAAACATTCTGACATTCAATAAAAATTTAATTAATCGATATTTTTAGCGAAATGTACTTATTAATGTATCTGGATTCAGCGAAACAAGACTTACAACACCCTATAAGCGGTTTTTTTATATCTTATTTAGTTTCAGTTTTATTGTTAGTTACGATGAGAAGCGCAGTATGACTGCCACGGAAGCGCATTGTTCTTCACGGATACCCCATCAGCATACTCCCAAAATTTCGTCGATGCCATCTTAGACTATGGAAACTAATTCTTTTATTTTTTTCCATCCTCTAAGGATGCCATTGGCACAAAATTCTATATTCTATTCAGTCTGGGCAGTTAAATTACCTTATGAAAAAAATTTTTCCATCCTCTAAGTGAACAAAGCACTTCTTCACGAATCTTCACTTTTTGTGGTCAAAACCACAGACCTACTTCCATGGTCAAAACTATATCTATGGTCAAAATCCTTGCAAAGTGTATTAAGTGTTTAAAATACCAACATTGGTCTATGATACATATAATTATTTTAGTTTATGGTTAGAATAAAGCTTTAAAATTAGTATTTTCCGTAGACGGAGAGTATTTTCCTTGTATTTTCAAAATCTCTATGACACAGTAAAGAGTATAAAAATGACAAAGATGACTGCGAGTCTTAGAGGATGGAAAAAAATAAAAGAAAGGAGCTGCCCTAAGTACAGAATCAACGTGCATATTACCAAAATTTGAAAGTTACAAATGGCGGATTTCTTTAGTGTTGTACCATAATCTATCGATAAGTCAAGTCGACAAGTCATCGACATGCAAATGTATGGCTTGAATTTTTGTTTCTTTAGTTTACTGTAACCAAAGTATGCCTAAACATACACAAGTCTGATAATTTAATCTCGAGTGGTGTATTATTATAAATGTCAACACACATTTTTAAACTTCAAAAAAAATTTATTTTCAACATTACAACTGGTAACTTATTTAGTAAAAGTCACCAAACTGCTGTGCAGTTTGTTGGCGACATGCGCATTCTTGCTTAATTATACCTACTTTACTTGTATTTGACATTACGTAGTATTAATTGTACTTACTAAATAAAATATAAAAATTACTTTAAGAGGTACGCCTTTAACCTACATTTTAGTACATATTTACATAACGTCTTTTAACTAACCGTCAAGTACAAGTCTATTCAGGTTTCTGCGGATTCTAGTATTCCCGTTAATTCCCGGGCTTTCTTAAGCAAATGAATCTATCAAGCAATTTTAACACAGAAATAATGGAAGTAGTTGTAAAAATCAATTATCGGAAATCAACAATTATCATGTACTAGCTTTTACCCACGACTTCGTCCGCGTACAATTTTTATACAAATGAAAAATATTCAAGTATGAACCAAATCGCACCACGTGTTAAAAAGTTACCTTACAAACTTTATTACCCCATTTCGCCGCATTTTTTAAAAACTGTCATGCCATTTTTTTACTATTTTTATTGTAAAATATTTATGCAAAGTTTCGTCTTTGTAATTTCAAGGAATATTATTTTTCATGCAAACGTTTTTAACCGTTTTCGCCCTCTTAGGGGATGAATTTGAAAAATCCGTTCTTCGTACTCCTTCACTAAATAAAATTAACATACCCTCAAGTTATCATGTTCCAGTACTTACAGTTTTTGCTATGCGTCCATTTACCAGTGAATTGCTCTGGACCGTACTCCTTTAAATATGTATATAGATTTACAAAAACCAAATTATTTTAAAAAATAAAAACCCGACTGCAAAATTATTTACCAATAAACCTAATGATGGAATAGCATTGTCATGTAATCTAGTTACATTTAAAGTTCTGTTAAAATTTGACTCTTCAAAATGAAGCGAACAAATGAAGATGGTCTTTGATCCAACGTTTATATTCGGCAGTCCTATGATTTCCAACCATTCTTTCTTCCTTTTTTCATTTGTAGGAAAACTTGAAATAATAATAATGAAACAATAAAAACCTCATAGTGAATTGTTTTAATAACAGAATATCGATAATCTGTATGCTTACAAGATCAACACTATCTCAAAATAATCGTTAACAACAATCATCAAAATATACAAACAAACAGGCAATCTAAAGTAACAAAAGCAAAATTTGGCAAGATTTATAAATAAACTACTTAAATAAGTCTAATTACATAAAATATTCGGGCTATTGTGTGATTTATAGACAAAAAAATAACACATGCCTGTGCAATGTAACATTCGATTGATTTGCAGTTTTTCTAAAGCCGCATCCTTTAATGCTGCAGCGTCGCATTTTTATTAATACCTAATTATTCTCACTGTCAATATTTTTGTCCAATTTAATTATAATACATGTGAATAATTCAATAATACATTTGGAAAAACATTTGTTTTGACATTTGATGTACTTCCCTTTGATAACGGTATCATGTACCTCATGTACTTGAAATGGCCACGGTTGGCATTTAAAATGACGTTACGAATTTTCGATTCCCGTGTTTGACACAGACCAATGTAATGCTATCTCTTTTGGCTTAAGACGGCACGTAATAGTTAAACAAAGACAATAATATGTTTATGTTTTCGACGTCGAAATGCATCATATACATATAACGTCTGATTTATATATGTCAACGTAACATGTCCTTTAGTTTCCATAGTCTAAGCTGCGAGTAATTGTAAACAAACCTGGCACAGGGGCTTAGGACACCGTGATCAAACAGAAGGCAGAAACATCATTCGATGGGGCTTACTAAATAAATGTAACGGTTTCATTATCTTCTAGTCTCCGTATTCCTAGTATCCTTAGCATGACAAAATAACGGCATTAAATCTTGTACGCATAGATTATGTCTGTTGATCACATAAATCTGTTATGCCATCCATTCACACGCCATCCAGGGTTTGAGTTTCTTTTCAAACGACACGAGGAAGGCTGCTACTATGGAGTAGGTATGTCCCTAGTTAACCAATAAAGATAAAAAAATGGTTGATTTGATTAATGACAAATCCACTCCAAAGGATGAGGTTTCTCAAAGCCCAGCTCTAATGGCTGAATTTTATGTCGAGCCTGTTCTAAAGAATGACGTTAACAAACTAATTCTAAAGGATGAAACATATGATCAGACAGTTCTAAAAGTTGAGGCTAAAGACGAGACAGTTCTAAAGGCCACGACTACACAGGGCATCAGCCCCAAGCCTACCATGTCTACTTCTGTATGCTACAAGTTATCAGCTGACACACGGCCTGAACATGACGTATTCACAAGCGAATGTCGGGAACGATGCGGTATTTTAAAGTAAGTATCATTTAATGGCATAACGTCGCCTTACTTTCTCAGACTCTTATCTTAAAGCACAAGTTACTGGAATGCAAAAAATGGATTGTACCTATATACAAATTTTGCACGCTGATTACACATCACATTTCCTTCATATTAACACACTGGTTTTTACCTATTCTTAATCCAAATTAACCCCCTTGATAAGAAATTTAAAATAAATAGAAACTTTTACCACCTGAATAATCACTTTTTCTAACATACGAGTTTAAGGTTTGTATTCTAGAACTGTGCTCAATGCTCAAGTCAGGATTTGAGCAGACTTGAGTATGATTTCAAGCACTGGAAATTCTACCCTAATGGCAAGGACTTGAGTATGATTTTCAGTGCTCACTACTCAATACTCAAGTCCTGACTTGAGTATTGAGTAGAGTTCTGGAATACGACCCTAAGAAAGTAAGGCATCGATAAGGTGTCAAATACGCTGCATGTAAAATGAAATATTTTGCACGACTACTTAATAATTTTAAAGAACGTTTCGGGTTTTTTTTTTAAATCTTTATTTATTTAGGGACTTTGATCGTTATTAAGCATGTGAGCCCCATTAGTAAAAAGGTACATCAAGAAAACACTTAATACTTAGTCATTTGATACGGGTAGATGTCACGCGTCCGCAGCAATCGTATGACGTCGTCGGTAGAAATCGGAAAAGTTGCCCCACCGAGCAATGTATAGCGATCCGAGTATAATGCGATCCGTCCAATGCGTGCGCTGCGGATCTGTGGATACATACCTTTAAACGCCCCTCATTAAATCTGTATCAAGGCTTCCCACGAGCCCGCGCTACTGGTCCATACATGCTAGCCAGCGCTGACACTGTTCCCATAGCGCATTGGGAAGCCAGCTTAACAAACCGACTTATCCAAAGAACAAAGTGCGATGTGATTATACAGCGAAAAGAGGTTGAAACATAATCTCGTAATTCAAAAGGCCTATATAAAGATGTTTTCAGATTTTTTTATGTATTTATTATTTCGTTTCGGAAATATAAAATCGAACAACAGTCGATCTTGACTGGTTATCCGCAATCAAGAACAACGAACGAAACGTACAATGTCCCGAGAACAAGCAGCAATTTGCACATACTAGGTCTTTGTTCTACGGATGAGTCGAAACACATTAATTACACTGAAGTGCAACCGTGTGTGGTCATTTCTAACAGCTATTTATTTTATTAAAATAAACCCTTATGTTCTTTAGATTGGTCAGTGTACTCTTCGCTTTATTGCTAATATTAGTGTTGGTGTTTACCGTAAGGACACGCAGGTCAAGAGTGACGAGATCGCCGGCATTCTGAATATACCACTATGAAGAAAGTAGCTCTGATGCGTGTACCCGTTTTGGCATGTTATTTTATTACAAATAAATAATGTTAAAAAATGTAAACTCGCTATTATTTAAGGCAGCTAATGGATTGTATGTTTGCAATTAACGTGTGCATGTTTAATCAACTGTACCTACTTACGTGGTGTGATTTCAAATGCATGCTGTCTAGATTTCAACTGCAAGTCTCGGCTGCAGTCTATGTGAAAGATGGTCCGAGAACCAAAATCATCAATTCACATTGTTAAGAGGATATAGGTACCTATGTATGATTTTCTTTTATGACTGAAAAATTTTTTTATTCAGTAACGGGAAAAGGTAACGATTAGGTACTTGAGGGTTACATGGCTAAACAAAACGCGATCTTTTCTCAACGGATTTATTTCATATTTCCACAAGTCTTGAATCTTGTAAATTTATACACAGATCATTACAAAAACAATTTTTTGTAATGATCCGTGTTTACATTTTAGATCGCAAATTTCACTTCAGAGTATATTTAGTCAGGAGTATGTTTATTGCCTTAATAAAAATCTAAGTCAGCATTTGGAATCATAAATGCTCTGAATGCAGTGACAAGGCAAGTAACATTTGTGCTTTCATTTCGATATTAATAAATACACTGATAACTGTTTGCCGCCAATGTCGACTACGTGTAGTCGGTCTCGATAAGGCCCGGCGCCTATTGGCGGGACGATATGGCATGGGATACTTCGTTAATCTCTATTATACATGCAAGTGCACACTGACGGCAAATATGCAGCGGTATCCTTAGGCGTACCATCGCGTCGCAACATCGTGCTCGTTCTAGTCATCTCTAAGTCTCTATTCAGACCAGTCGTAACGTTAAAGGTAAAAGTCTTCCGAAGCATCCCGAAGTCTGCTGAAGTGGAGGAAACCGCGCCAGGACAGTCGCCGCGTTGTGCCCCGAGCCCAAGCCAACATGGGGATGGCGCTGTATTTTGAGGTACAGTGCCATCTAGTAAGAAACAACGTTACCGGGGTTACACAACCGGGGACACGTTCTACTTATATCATCACTATCCAGTAACGAGTAATAAGTCTCATGAAGGAAGGATGTTACTATGCGTTGTGTTGTATGATGTCTCTAAATATAATAATAACTTACTGCTACTAGATAATAGGTGTCGCTAGTAAGCAGGTATTCTCTAAACTCCAATAAAACGAATTCATGTTTACCACATTTATAAAAACCCATTTATTCATACATTTGACAAACTACAAATATGTCCAAAAGTCTTACAAACACTCGTAACAAACCAGGTACAATAATAATTTTATACTTCACATTTTAATATTATTAAATACATAAGTAGATAATAAGTAGTACCTACCTACATAATACATTTTATAATACCTTGATAATTTAATGTGTAATAATAACATTAGATCTACATTGCTACTGCCTCTAAATATTTACTTAAAAATCAAAACTGTCATAATTGAATTCTTACTTAGTTATTTCATTAGGTACCTACCTAATGAAGTAACTAACTAAGCCTACATGTTAAAAAACGTAATATTATTTTTTAAACGGGACAAATACTGTTAACTACAATTTACTGTCGTCCATTTTACTCATGTACATATTTTAGGGACTCCAGTTTTTTGGCTTTGTAGTTACGTAAGATATTATCTTAGAGGTATGAAAAAAATCGTCTAATGATATTATATAGGCTGTTTTTTACTGGGACAGTAAAATCGCACAAACTGGAGGTACAGTGGAAAACAATTATAAAAAAGAAAAAAAACGAAATCATAGGTGATACAAGGAAACTCACTTATGAACTATTAGGTCTTTTTTTTTTGCGAAACCAAATTTGACGTAGTAAATTTTTTTTGTCCAACGTGAGGGATTCATAAATATAAATGACTATTTTTTTTGTAATACTGATTGACACAGTTTCTTTTAAGGATAATTTTATTGCATCGGAAGAAAAAATCGGGACAGTAGTTAGTAAAAAATAAAATATTTTTCATACGAAATATCTGCAATACCGCTTTCTTTCTTCGGAAGCAATTTAACTAATCCTTATAAGAAACTGAGTCCATCAGCATTAAGAAAAATTAGTCAGCATATTAATTTCAATTAAACAAAAAAAAAAATGGTAGGTATGTCAAAATTGTTTTCACAGTAAAAGATTTAATGTTTCCTAAGACAGTTTCCCTGTGTCTCCTATGGTTTCGAATTTCCCCATAGTCCTTGTTAAAAAAACACTATATTATTTTCTCGTTATCTGTTTACTATTTTATACATGCAGCTTTAACTATGTAAGTGTAATTATTTATTAATTTGTAAGAATACCGCTACTGGATTTAAAAAGAGTCTGTATACGGCTTACATACAAAATACAAAATGTACATAGACTTGTCTCAAAGGATGTAAAGTACAAATACTAATTTCTAAATGGTGTTATACTATTGGCACTTCGTTTGACTCTCGCATATAATTGAACTATTTTTTTAAATTCTACGTAGTTACTTAACATTCATGCAGTATTACATATGTAGTAAAATAATATTAGGTTGATTATCGTTAATTACAGGGTTCCTCCCATGATCCTTTTTATTTTCCTCGATATTTTGGAATAGTTACATTGGTTACGCGATCCACGGTCACGGGTTGGTTCTTGAGCGTGTAACTGTTCTGAAATATTAGGAAAATAAAATCGAAATCATGTAATTAGTGATATTCACGGAAATATTAAAATGTATAGGTAATACTAGGTTGATTTAGTAGTGCTTCCGGTCCGCGCGGGAACATAATGGTTCATCCTGGTACGTATGGTCAGCCTCGATAAATAATTTTTACATGGTTCATAATTACCAAGAATCGGAACATCCAGACAATTTATTTATCTAAACTTCAAGTAATACTCATAGCGCGGATAATACCTCCCTCTGAAATTCCAATTAAAAATGGAAAAACAATAAAGCAGAATTTGTAAGTACCAAATTTATTCTTTTAAATAGAATAGCGTAGTATAGTAATTGATTGTTACACGTCAAAAATATATAACAAAATATAATACAATAGAGTTGTTGATTGTTGTTGATTTGTGTATTTACTTCGTTAAAGCTTAGATTAATATACTTCGCGTATTCTAGTGCAATCAATACCCTGGCACCCTCTAGAAGGGACGGACCAAAACTGATCAAAACGGACTAATTAAAATGGTGCAAGTGTAAATGACGTTGGTAAGCAATAGTAAGTTTACTTCGCTTGCGCCGCGAGTGTCGCAGGCTCTTTGGAGGCGAAACCCTACGCGTGGTGCACAGCACATCCTGTGCACCAAAGCGTCACTTAGCAAACAACATCGGACAAGTAATTTGGAGTAATGTTAAGGAGAGTGAAAATACTGCATTAATATCGTTGTATACAAGATTTTGTTATCTATTATTGGTAATAAGCTCTTTTTATTGATAACACATAATTGTATATGCTTTGGTTGTAAAAATTTTATTGATATTCACGTTCTATTTGGACTTAAGTAACGTTTAAAAGTAAAAATAGCCAATTTTCCACGTTGTCTGCTAAGCGACGAGAGGTAAAGCCGGCACGCATAAAGATGAAGAGAGACCTTAGGATACTTTTTATTTTATTAAAGCAATATATTAATTACTGTTTCTTTTTACGTTTTCATAACGGATCTCATAGTAAAAATGCTCGTATTAATTAATTGTGTCACTCTCATGTATAGCAATTAAAAAAAAACACCTTGTATAATATTAAACTAAATCATTGACTAATTCTAAAGTTCTTTTGGACTGACAAATTAAAAGTTTTAAAGTAAATGGAGGAAGACAATATTTAATTATGTCTAACAACAATATTGCTAACAATAACAAAATTATATTAAAATCTATAATAGTGTTTCATAGAATTAAATATAAATTGATATAAAGGTAAGAATTTCAAACAAAATTTCGAACTGTAAAAAAATGTATTTACGGAAATTATGAAAACAAGTATAGATATTCATTTGGAATTCCACACGGACCGTACGGCTCTGAAATCTGCCTAATAAAACCGAAACAACTCGAAAGGCTAAATATTACAGTGAAATAATCAAAATTACATTCCGTGTAAGCGCGGAACAAAGAGATGAAAGAAAAGTGTAAAAATGCAAATGGTAAGCAGACTAGAATAAACTTAATATATTTATATTCTAGTAAGTAATATATTCTAGTTAGTGCAAGTGTCGATTCTATTGTACACAAATCTAAATATCTGTGTTATTGTATTGATCGCATGTACATCGATTACAGACGCTAATTATTATTGCCAGTTTATTCAACAGATTCAAATTCAAATTATAATGTGACATCAGAAATATCTTTTTTTTATGGTAGAATAACTCCGCGTTTGACCTCCAACTCACCCGATGGAAAGTGACGATTAGGTCGACAATGGAGCATGCACATCTAAATTTGCACATTGCAAATTTGCCTATTCACTGTCGCCTTGCAAAGGCCCAACTTATAGCGTTCAGGGACTCCATATTATTTTGTGTTAGCGCGTAATGATGTCCTTGTGACGTCATTATTTTATTGTTACTGTTACTGTCTTAATTATAATTATATTTTCAGTATCCAACTTAAGGGCATATTATTGCAGTTGAAAATTTATTTAATGTTATTAGGAATAAGATATATTTTTTTAACTGGTTGTTTTTGATAGTTGTCTTCACAATGTCACAAATTGATTTAAAAGGCAATGTGTTCTTTGCAGTTGATTTTATAAATTTGCAATTTACAAGGTTTAACTATATTCAAATGAAAATTTTATACTAAAGAATTTTTTGAATTATACAGCTTCTGCGTACTCGGATAACTAAAATCCACGGTAGTGACCCCTTTAGATTTAGGAGGTTGTCTTGATCTATCTTGTTTAAAATAAATGATAAACAAAGTTTCTTACACATTCTCCTCAGAGGAATCTGCCTTACGAATGAGTAAGTAGAATT